TGTATTTATTTAAGGAAGGGAGAGAGAGAGCACAAATGGGGGGACAGAGGCCGGGGGCTAGGGAGAATTTCAAGCACCCTGTGTTGAGCACAGAGCCCTATGCAAGGTCAATCTCATGACCCTGAGATCACAACCTGAGCCAAAACCAAGAGTCAGATGCTTAACCAACTGCACCAACCAGGCACCCCAATCCTCAAAATATTTTAACTCAATATCCACAAACTATAATCATTTGAACATGTGATTACATGTAAAATTTATCAATGAGATATTTTATCTTATTCTTGTATGAAGTCTTCAAAATCAGGTGCGCATTTGATGTTTATTCCAAATGCTCCATTGTCCTGTGTGGCTACGAGCTACCATGTCGGGCAGCCCAGGTCACAATATTGGTATATGTAAAAATTCTGAGATGAAAGTAAACCAATCACTGCTTTGATATAGATCCCTATAATAAATAATCCAGTCTTGGATGGCTGGTAGTGTGGTGTATCAGTTATCTCTTGCCAAAATAACACTGCATAAAAACAACCCTAAAACCCTAGTGGCATGGGACACAGGCCTTTAGTATGGCTCACAAGTCTACAGGCAAGCTGGGACTAGACAGTCAAGGTGACTGGAGTGACACAGCTGTCTTCAACCAGCAGGTGAGCCACTGCTGGTGGCTGGACTAACGTGGCCTCACCTGGGATAACCCATCTCTGCCCTGTGTGCCCTCCCATCTTTGCCAAGCAGTCCTGCCTGCCCTCAGGATGGAGGAATTCTCAGGGACTAGACTCAGAACTGGCATCAAGTCCCTTTGCCTCATCCCCTGACCAGATTGGTCTCAGGTGAAGGCAGACCCTCCAGCTGGGAAGACGAGTCAGCCTCCTCACAGGAGGTTTGTGAGACCACATTTCAAAGGAAATGAGTGCTGGGCCACTCCCTGGGGCCACAGGGGCCACCAATCTGCCTCTGGTGGTGTCCGTGCTGACCAGTGGGTAGTTTCTTCCAGGCCTGGGCACTGCATCCTACGTGTGATGGGAGCTGCACTGAGGAATGTGGAGGCTGAACTCCTGGGACAAGGCCCCCTTGTAAGGAATCGTAGGAGTTGCATATGTGTAGCCCCCAAAGAACAACAGTGCAGGGAACAATGTGAAAACTCTCTTCAGATTGCGGTGAACTGTCCTGGGCAAGAAGCAGCCTTGTTCTCGGTTCCCCTAATATCTTCTGGGGGTTTGTTACACACCAGGAAGTGTGCTGCAGGAGGAGGCTAGTAGCATAAGGAAGTTCCAGCAGATACCAGTTCATTCAAAGGAGAACTTTCTAACAAATGAGAGGACTCATTACTATCAAATAATTTACCTGCCACAGTGAATTCTAAGAGTAGAAGTACTTAAGCAGAGGCAGTGCCATGGGGACTCCTTCCCCGGGGTGGGTCACGGACCTGCTTCTCATGGACCTTCCAGCCCTTACCTCTACACACTGGTCTCCCAGTTGCAGCTGGTTGGTTTGTGGAGACACAGACTATCACTCTTCTGTGCACAGACCCATCTAGACTTACAAAGTGTTCCAACCACAGACATAACAAGCCATCTTAAGACGAGCCCCAAGTTGTTAGGTATCCAGCAAACTGTTTTGTGACACCGTAGGGTGGGAAAGTACAGAATGGTTACGTGACCGAAGCTCACGTGGCACAAGTGGATGAGCTAGAAGTGAAACAGAGCCTGTGGGTGCTCATCTGTGCGGTGCTCACTATTCCCGGCACTGTCAAACCACAAAGCCAAACAGAATGCCTGTGAGCCCATCCTTCTCCTGTGGCTGATTAAGTGTATTCTTTTACGCAGAGAAATAATTTAACTTTTGCTGAACTAAAACAAAACAAATCATTAGCAGCCCCAGAGTTAGAATTCGGGACTGCAAGAGTAAGAACATCACACTGAATCGTCTGTTTCCTGACAAGTACAGGGAAATTCCTACAACTCCAAGGAATTGGAGTGGGGACTGCTATTCATGGTGGGGACGGCCATGGGAGACGCAGCTGGAGAAGCTGCTGGCCAAAAGGGGAGAGCCTCCTCCAGGGCTCAGGAGAAACAGTAAGAGGTTCTGGAACGAGTCTCCTTGGTCCTCAGAAGTCATGGAAGCATAGAACAAGAAGGCCTTGCGGCCAGTAGTACTGAGAACTTTTCTAACTGGCTTGACTAGGGCTGCTCTCTGACTCAATTTGCAAAACTGTAAGGGTCTGGGGAAAAGGTGCATAAATCTGCATCCGAGCCAGAGGCACCCCTACAAGAAAAAAAAGGTTGAGAATTACTAAAATGTCTCTGATGATTCAGGTGGTCTCAACTGAAGGTCACTGGGCAGAGGACCATCAAGAGCCCTGGGGAGAAATATGTCATGAAGAAAAGACCAACAGGTGACCGGGAGGACAAGCTCTCAAACAACATTGATCAAAGGCCCTCCCTCCCCAGTGAGCTGAGCACACCAGAGAATAGCACAGAGCTTGTGTAGGCACAGGATACACCCTTGACTCAGTGGTGGCACCAGCATCCTTGGGAAGACCCCTCTGGCCTGTACAATGTTCTAGATGAACCATAGCAAGGCTCCATTCCTCTCCCTCCCACCATGGGACAGAAGCAATGACAATAGAAGACATGCTCCTGTGCATTCAGGCTAGGGGATGGGTCAGAGCCTTCACGTCTCTCAGTGGCGCCTTGGGAAATGGGACAAGCCCCTCAAGGACACCCTCCCAGGATTCTGGGGAGGTGGAGGGACAGTCAGGTGTAGTGGGGCTACAAATACAGGAGCAGCAACCAGTGCTGGGTTTTCTGCTAATGTGGCCGGAAGAGTGATCAGGAAGTTACTCTGAATATTCAAAGGCCTGACCAGTGGTGGGCCGCCAAGTGTTTATCAGCTGGCTCTTAGAAGATAAAGAGGCCTGCTCACAGCGCTTGCCAATTCCTGTGGTGTACGTCTCCTCCGCTGGCCAAGGCCGGCAGGGCTGGGGGGAGATGCAGCGTGTGCTGCGGACACCAGCCCACCAATGCACGCCACCCTGCAGCATGGAGGGCTCTGAGGACAGCACGCACAGAAGAGTCCATTCTGGATGATTCCATGGACAGGAGATATGCAGTGACCACCCACAGATCAGGGGTTGCTTGCCCCAGTGGGGGGAGCCGGGATGGATAGGAAAGGAAAATCTATTTTGATTGTGGTTGAGGTGACACTGGTATAACTCTGTTAAAACTCATTGAAAGAACCTTGAAAATGAACGCATTTTGTTGTATGTAAATTAGATCTCAATAAAGGTGCATTTTAATAGGTGGCTCAGTCAGTGACACATCTGCCTTTGGCTCAGATCATGATCTCACCGTCCTGGGATCGAGCCCTGCATCGGGCTCCCTGTTCAGTGGGGAGTCTGCTCCTCCTTCTCCCTCCCTGCACCCCCACCCCATGCCCCCACTCATGCTCTCTCTTACTGTCTCAAATAAATAAAATCTTTTAAAAAAAGTTGAATTTTAAAATATGCAATACCCCTCCCAAGCCGGTGAAGATATCATTAGGCTGATTTCTGGTAGTGGGCACTGGACTGCAAGGACATTCACGGGTGACTGTCCTGGCACAAAGCAACCTTCCCACAGCAGGTGGGGTAAACGCGCCACACAAACCTACCCCCTGTTCCCACCTGTTGTTTCCCACTGGCAATCTTTCTAAATTCTACTGGAATGATGACAAACAGGACGTGTCAGGCACCTGCCTGGGCCCCTCACCTCCTCTGCCCCCGGCGTCAAGGTGCCCTGTGCTCAGGTCCCATAGTACAGCTCCATCCAGACCAACACTGCACGCTGTCTGTGCCCTGAGACTCCTCGTCCATTTCCCACAGAGGTCTCTCAACAAAGCACCACCACTTGGTGGCTTAAGAGAACAGAAATTTATTCTTTCACAAGTTGGGAGCCCCGAAGCCCTAAATCAGGGCTGGTTCCTTCTGAGGCCCCAACAGATGGAACGTGCCATGCCTCTCTCCTGGTTCCCCATGGCCGCCTGCAGCGTGGCATCCAGGGCTTGCAGACACACCCCTGTCTCTGCCACCCTGACCACACTGCCATCTCTGTGTCGCTTCATGCTCTCTCCTCTTATAAGGACACGGTTTGAGGGTGAGCTGGGCATCCCACCCTCCAGCCAAGACTATTCCATCTCAAGACCCATAACTCATTCAATCTGCAAAGACGCTATTTCCAAATAAAGTCACATTCTGAGGCTCCAGGTGGACGTGAATTTGAGGAGACACTATTCCACCAACCACACCCTTCATACTGTACCCCCAGTACAATCCCTCTCTGGAACCCCGGACATCAAGCTTCCAGCTCAGAAGGATCTCATGTCCATCCTGCCTCACCCTCAACTCCTCCTTCCCAGACTTACCTCTGCACAGTCCTGCTCAGTTCAGCAACACACCATCCCAGGCCCTCAGGCCACTAACCACTCATTCATCCCTCAGACCCAGCAGCAAATCCTCCTAGATCTCCCTTCCAAATTGAATGCACATCCTGTACCCCAAATCCAGCGGCCTACCCACATTCCTCGCCCAGCTGGTCTCCTGCCCCACCCCTGTCCTCTGAGGTCTGTTCTCCACCCAACAGAAAAGTAGAATTTTAAAATCATTCCAATCATGTCTGCATTTCATTCAAATTCTCCAAGGGCACCCCAAAGATATCAGAATAAAACCCTGCATCTTGCCTATGCCCTACAGGGCTTGCATGGAACCTGCTGTCCCCCTCCATGTTCTCACCTCTTCCCCACTTTGTTGACACCGGTCACCCTGGCCACCATGCCTTTGCTTAAGTTGGCTCAGCACATCCCACTTCAAGGACTTTATCTTCACTGATTCTGTACCAGGAATGTCCATGCCAGACAACCACAGGACTGACCCCTCCCTGTGCCCGGTGACCAGCGGATGCTGGAGCTTCCCTGACCACCATTTACAGTAACTTCCCAGCTCCGACCCCATTTCTGGCTCCTACCTTGCTTTATTTTCCCCTGCCTGCCATGTTGGCTTGCTTGTGGTCACGAGTGTGCGAACTCCAGCAGAGAAGCTCTGTTTTGCTCACTGCTGACTCCCGGTCATCCAGAACAGGGCCCAGCCAAGGGTAGGCGCCCCAGAAATACTTGCCAAGGGAATGAAGGAATGAAATGGTGATGGACATGGAAAGTTCATTAGAGTGTGGGTTTTATAAAAGCTTATCTCTTTTCTGCAACAATCTTCAGACCTGATCTCCTGTGTCAGCCCCTGGTTGATGCATAGATAGGGGTAGATCACCACAATCTGGGGCAAGCCGATTTTGTGATTTGTCATCTCAAAAGGGGAAGAGGTTTTAAGTTGAAAGAGAAAAAAAGGTAGGCAGCCTTTATATGGGACATTTACACGAACCTCAGTGGGGCCAGGCAACTTCCTTTCCAACTTCTCCTTGTTCTGGACTGCGCTGCCTGTTTACCACTTCACCGGAGGCCATGGAGATGCTACAAACATCTTGTTAAATAGAGGGTTTTGGGGGATGCCTGGATGGCTCAGCGGTTGAGCATCTGCCTTTAGCTCAGGGAGTGATCCCACAATCCCGAGATCAAGTCCCACGTCGGGCTCCCTGCATGAGCCTGCTTCTCCCTCTACCTGTGTCTCTGCCTCTCTGTGTGTGTGTCTCATGAATAAATAAATAAAATCTTTTAAAATAAATAGATAGATAAATAGACAGATAGTCTTAGTTTGACAGAACACACGAAGATGCCTCTGGCCGTCAGACAAATACATTTCAGAGAAATGAATGGACTCTCACACTGGGCTATATTACTTTTGATTTCCTTGTAATGTTGGAAGGCCCCCTCAGTTAAAATATTAAAGAGTACAGGCCTAGGACATGGAGGTTAATTATACACGGGACACGGGAGACGTGAGTGCCGCGGATCGGTTCTCAGGTCTCGACTGGAACACGATGCCATGGAATGTAACAACCCTTGGGATCAGATGAGTATCTGAATCTTGACTCAACTGCTCGTTGACCGGGCTTCCATCTCCTCTGGTGTGAAGTAGGGGGACACAGCCCCTCACGGGGACACAGGGACATGCAATGGGTGGTACAAATTGAAGAGCTACAAGGCGGAAGAGCAGATAGGTCATGCCCTGGCCATCTGAAGAGGTGGATGGCCCGTGTCTGAGTGTTACTGCGATCCAACTTGTCAAGACCAGAGAGGCCTCCAGCCAACAATGGAACCATGGCTCCAGGCCACTGCTGCTGACTTTTGGGAACCAACTCTTCAGAAAGCTGGTATGAAAATTACTCATTCGGGTATAAGGTTGGCAGAAACACTGTGTCGGTCAGTGCTTTACATACAAGAACCCCCAAAATGGAGGAAGTGGGTATGGAGGAACAAGAAAAGAAGGAAAAAAAAACCCAGCCACAGAAGTGGGGTGGCTGCCCCTCTTCCTGCCACCTGGAGGAAAGACACACCTCGTTAAGGAGATGCTGGGCTTTCTATTATTTTGATTATTTGGCAGAGCCTAACCCCACCTCTCACCCCCCAGTGGAAGAGAGAAAATCCTCTCCTTGCTGTTCCCCAAAGGGAAGGCGCTGAATCCAGGAAGGGGCCACCCACTCCGGTTTCCAAGCAGCACTGTCCTGCCCACGCACCCGCCACACACACACACACTTGCCAAGGAGCCCGTCTCCATCCAGGGCTTCTAGCACTACCGTGCCCCCTCCCACATTTCCCGTCCATCTTCTGACCCCTGTTCTTGGTGACTTGGCCCAACACTAAGGGTTACATCTCCTCCATCTTCACCTCTAGACCACAGCCATGGTTGACTCAGGAGTGCTTGACCACCTTGTCTAACCAACGGAATATGCCGCACATGTGACCCCAAGCCACGTGGGTCCCTGGAGGGATGCTACTAGTCTGTGGCCTATGTCCAGAGGAGAGTGGGCAGTGGGATCATGCTGTGCTATAAACCACACAGAAGCCCACACCAAGGCTGGTGTGCTTGGCTGCCCATGACCCACAGTTTCTATGGGTCCCTGGTTCCTGGAGAGGAAGGCCTAGAGGCCTAGAGATTGTCAAGAATATGCAGTTGTTCCTGGTGATTCACAGTTCTCCACACAGACCCCCCAGGGAGGCAGCCTCTTGTTAACAAGACGGGTTTTCTTGGTGTTCATCCAGGCTCCTGACTTCTGTTCACTCACTTGCCACTGGCCATCCCTGAGTCAACTCAGAGAACTTCCCGGAGGATGACCACACACACCACTGCAGGACACGCATCCACAGGTGCCATGTCTTAGGCACACCTAAGACAGGTGTGGGCATCACACTTCTCAGGCATGGCATCCAGAAAGTTCAACTTTTTAAGGAATACTCAAGAAGTTCTGACATTAGCTAGATTTGAGAACCACTCAATTTTTAAAAAGATTTTATTTATTCATGAGAGACACAGAGAGACAGAGACATAGGCAGAGGGAGAAGCAGGCTCCCTGAGGGGAGCCTGATGTGGGATTTGATCCCTGGACCCTGGGATCACATCCTGAGCCAAAGGCAGACGCTCAACCACTGAGCCACCCAGGCGTCCCCAAGAATCACTGAATTAAATGATAAAAAGTCTTTTTTCCCCTCAACTCTGAGTCTCAAATGACACTTGCCTTGCTTAAACCTTTCCAGGTATAACAATGTTCATTGTTGATATTACCAACTGATCTGAAATTACTACTTTAAACCTAAAACCAATCCAAAAATTTCAAAATATTCTCATACTTTAGCAGTTGACATTTACATAACACTTCCAGCTTCTCCCTCCCATCCCGCTATAATTATTTCCATGTATCCTGCATCTCCAGACATTAGAAAATCCATTTGCTATTTTTGCTTTAGTCAATAATCTTTTTTAAAAAAATAATGATCAGAGAACCATTTTTAATATCTACTTTATTTTTACTATTTCTGGTGCTTCCTAGTTCTTTGTGTAGATCCAAATTTTTATCGAAGCAATTTTCCTACAACTCAGAGAACTTCCTTCCACACTACTTGTGCCACACGGCCCTGTTGACAATGAGTAATCTCAGGTTTTGTCTGAAAAGCTTTCATTTTTTGCCTTCAATTTGAAAAATACTCTTACTGGATATAGAATTCTGGGTTAATGGATTTTTTTCCTTTCAGTACTTTAAAGGCATCACCTCATTATCCTCTAGCTTGCATAGTATCTGATGAGAAATCTATCCTATCTATATCCAATAGCTTTTCCCCCTCTGGATGCATTCTCTTTAAATTTTTAAGTTTTGTTAAATCAAGTTGATTTTTTAAAAGTAAGCTCCATGACCAACGTGGGGCTCAAACTCATGACTCCAAGATCAAGAGTCCCACACTCTACCAAATGAGCCAGCCAGGCACCCCTACCTTCTGGATGCATTCTATATTCTCTCTCTCTCTCTCGCTCTCTCTCTCTCTCTCGGTTTTTAACAGTTTTATTATGGCATGTATAGGTGAGTTTTTATTTTACTTGGGTTGGTTTTTTGTTTCGTTGGTTAGTTGGCTTTGGTTTTGGGTTTTTTGTTGTTGTTGTTCTGTTTTGTTCTGGGATTTTTATACATATACTGTTAAGGTTCTCTGAACTTCATGGCTCTGAGGTTTGCTGTCTTGCATTATTTTTGAAAAATTCTTGGCCATGATCTCTTTAGTTTTTATGTTGTATTCTTTCTCTTCTATTCTGGACATCCAGTCACATGTATGTTAGATCACTTTACATTGTCCCATGACTCTCAGATACCTTGTTTGCTGTTGTCACTCTTGTATTCTGTCTGTGTATCAGTTTTTATGATTCTGTTGTTCTGTCTTCAAGTTCATCCATCTTTCTCGAACTGAGAGTAGTCCACTGACACACCTGCCAGAGGAATTCCTTGTGTCTTTATCAGTTTCTATTTGTGGCATTCTTATTTGTCACTTTCTTACTGATTCTACCTTTCAGTGAAAATGCTCTCTCTGTTCATTGCTATCTACCTCTCCTTCTAGATAATTCAGCATTCGTTTACGGTTACACCGTAAATCCCTGTCTTAGAGCACCAGCACCTGGGTCACTTCCAGTTCCAGTTCTGGTGATTGCTTTATCTGTTGCTAATTAGTTGTTTTTGTTTTTGTTTTCCTTTGCTTTGCTTTTTTAAACATCAACTTTTGATCAGCTGCTGAAAATCATGCATAAATAGTGGAGACTGAAGGAAGTGGTTTCTATGCTCATTAAAAAAAAAACAACTCATTTTGTGTGGGGGGGGTTGTGTGGGGCAAGATAGTTGTTGATCAGTTAGATGTTGAACTGGGTTTGAGTTTCACTTTGGTTTAAATCATTACCTTCAAAGCACCACAGGCTCCAGAACCCTGCAGAGATGGGCTGCCTCGCGCACAGGGCTGGGGTGCTGGAGGGTTTCCCTGGGTCCCTGCTCCAACCCCCACTTGCAGCCTTGCCTGGGAGCTCAGAAGCTCCTGCCACTCAGGATCCCTCTCCTGCTAGGCACCTCCCTCAGAAATAGGGAACTCTTGCTTGTTAGTCCTACGCAGCTCCTGGTGGTGGAAGTAGGGATTTCCTGATGCTGTTAGGCAAACCCTGTGAATCTGGGCCTTGGGAGGAAGGTCTCATAAGCATTCCTGCTCTTCTTTCCCATAGAAACCAATCTCAGCCTTGTATTTGTGGTTGGTCTTGGGAGGAACAGCATTCCCTGTCGGTTTCTCTGCTGCACTGGGTTTTGGGGTTTGTCCTGGGATGAGAAGCATGATTGTCCTTCTCTCCATAGTTCAAGGCTTTTGCTCACTGGCAGAGAAGGATGATGGGGAGTTTGTGTCTGTTTATTTCACAAGAGCCACGATGACCTCATACGAGCCTGTGCCACTGGGTGGGGGGCCTCTTTCAAGGCCTCTGCCCCACCCCCAGACTCTCTTGGGCAGGCCCATAGAAAAGAGCCTACAAGCAAGTACAAACCTTCCTGCATCCTAGGCCTCCTGCTATTTGAACCTGACCTGCTGGCCCAGGTTTGGTCCATAAGGATTCTTTAAAACTGGCTGCTTTGTCCTTACCTACAGTATGGCAGCCACCACTTTCTCCTTTCTATGCCAGGTTTGG